TCTGTGCTGACAGCTCAGAGCCTGGAGCCTGCTTTGGATTCTGTGTCTCCCTCTCTCTGCCCCTCCCTTGCTCATGTTCTGTCGCTCTTTCTTGCTCAAAAAAAATAAACATTAAAAAAAGATTATTTTTAAATCTTTGAGTGCAAAAGCCTTTTTCAAACATCCTGTCTCAGAAAGGTATCCATGTTTGTTTTTGTTTTAAGTTTATTTTATTTTGAGAGAGAAAGAACAAATAGGGGAGGGTCAGGGGGTTGGCAGAGAGGATCCAAAGTAGGCTCTGTGCTGGTAGCAGAGACCCTAATGTGGGGCTCGAACTCACAAACTGAGGTGACCTGAGCTGAAGTTGGACTTTTAACTAACTAAGCCTTCCAGGCACCTCCATTTTATTTTTGAGTAAAGAGAAAAAACATGGAACGTATGTATGACACGGTGTTTTTGTTTAAATATTCACAAATACTCAGGCACACTGTGTTATGTTTATATAATCACAGTAGAAAGTCGGAAAGATACCAAAATTATTTACAGCGACAGGACTGGAACTGTAGAAAGTACTTTTGCAAAAGAAGTTATGTCTGGACATTAAGGCATCTTTTTATTATTATTCTTGCTCTCAGAAGTTGTCAGGAGTCTGTCACTCCTGTTTTAGTGAAACTCCCCAGAATTTTCCCCCTTGCTCCCCAATATCCATCTTTAATATCTAAAATAAAACCTTTTTTTTTTTTTTTTTTTTTTTTAACATTTATTCCTTTTTGAGAGAGACAGAGTGTGAGCGGGGAAGGGGCAAAGCAAGAAGACACAGAATACAAAGCGGGCTCCAGGCTCTGAGCTGTCAACACAGAACCCGACTCGGGACTTGAACTCACAAATCGTGAGATCATGGCCTGAGCCGAAGTCAGACACTTAACCAACTGAGCCACCCAGGCACCCCAAACCTTTTTTTTCTTAACCTCAAACCTCTCAGAACATTTCTATCTGTTACATAAGTTATATTATTCTCTTTGCCATTTAGCTTCAAAATCTTAGGGTTATCCTTTTTCTTTCTGCCAGCTCGATCCTTCTGCAGGAGATAAAGAAAAACCACCACACATCGGTACCTATCCAAGTTCTAATCTTTCTTTCTTTGTCTTGTTTCTTGCTCTCTCCCTTTTCCCCTCACCAACACCCCAAGACAAGATTTCATCTTTCATGTGTGAACTTTTCCGTTCTTCGTACCTCCTCTGGTAGTTGCATCATTCTGAAAGCCTTGTTTTATCTTCCTCACTCTTTACTATCCTAAACAACAACAACAAAATGTTGATGGCTCCATGTTTCCCACAGGGTAAAAATCAACCCTTGGATAGAAAAGGCTAAATGTGAGTAGCGATGTGTTTGAACAACTTATTCAAAACAAAATTCACTTCTACGTGTAAAAAAGAAAACTATCCAAGATACATTACTAAGTAGAATCGAAATATATTAAGTGAACATGTTTACACATTGCTTATCAGTTATTTTTCTGTTCTGTTCTAGTAGAACAGTATCTAGTATCTACAGCTACTAGTTCAAAGTTAACTAAAGGTAGTTGCTTGAACAGAACAGTGTTAAAAGGAGCATTTATTCTTCAGATTCCCGGGCTGTATAAATCTAGTTCTGTGGACAATCTTTCTGCGACCAGGATCAAGCCTCTAGTTCCAGCCCGAGCCAGTGGGCTCAGCAAGAAGCCATCAAACATCCAGAAGAGAAATCATCATAATGCAGAGAACAGGCCAGGATTGCAGATAAAAATCAATGAGCTCTGGAAAAATTTTGGATTTAAAAAGTGAGTTGCCGTGTTACTTCTAAGATAGAATAAGTTATTGTTTTTTTGTAACTTCAATTACTTTCTCCCATTTCTTTCTATTTTCATTTGAGTCAGTTTTGTTTTCTATTACCCTATAAGAATTATTTTTCTCTATTCTCTTTAGCTCTTTTTAAGTATATTTAATTTTAGTGTCTATGCCTTCCTGTGAAAAGATGCCAGACTGAAAATCCTGAGTTCCTGGTCTGGGGTCTTTTGTTTAAGCAGATTACTTTTTCTGGCCTAAGTGTCTCAGCTTTGTTCTGTTATCACTCCGGATTGTGATGAGAGTAGGGTTGTTCTAGACACGGGGATGGGATAATAATGCTGCATCACACTTCTTGATTTAAAGCAATTTGTTTCCCTAGATCATCACATCTAAAGTGGGGAGAATCATCCAGTGTCTATGATGAATGTGCCAGATTTCTAATGTAGGGGGCAGACACTATTTTAATAGAATTGATCTTCTGTATATGTATGTTTTTTGAGCCGTAGTACTTCCTTCTGTTAGACTACAAAATTAGCCTTGGAGTAGCTGTGATTTATAATTAACTTATTCTCTTGTTCTTCTCAATAAAGCAAATGTGCTAAGAGTAGAGGGAGGGAAACTTACATGGGTGGTGGGATTAAATCTTATCTAATAGAAATGTTGTCACAGTCAGATTAAATGGATGGTATGAGGGGACACGCTTTAAATAAGCAAGTGCCAGACAACTATTTTTTTACTTTGCATTGTGTAAAGTCTAGGATTATACCATATCGCAGCAGTTCTCAAACATTTGCTTCCAGGCATCTTTTACACCCTTAAAAATTACTAAGGGCCCCAAAATACTTTGGTTTACATGATTATACCTGTCAGCACTTAACTATCTTAGAAATTAAAATGGACATTTTAAAATATTTATCTTTAACAGTGACAAGCCCATATTAAAATCAATAGTATATTATTACATAAAATAAGTATGGTTTTTTTGCAAATCTTTACTGTGGTTTAACAGGATTAAACTGGATTCTTATGTCTGCTTCTGTGTTCGATCTGTTATGGTAGATTGTTTTGGTTGAAGTATAGGACTAAAATCTGGCTCCACACATATTTTTGGCTGGGAAACATATAATTTAATAGACTTTTTGTTTAGTTGTAAATTTTCTACTTTGACATTATACCAAAATTCAACAAGTGATGGTTTCTTAAAGGTTGCAGTGTAGAGTCTGAAACTTGTCAGCCAACTTTGCATATTGTTACATTACCATCCATTGGTCCAGATTGCACCTTGAGTGCCTCTTTTATTCATGCATGAAGTGGTCATTTAGGAAATGTTGTCTTACTGAGTTATCTTCCAAATGTTGACACATTTCATTTTACAGTATAAAGAAATCACAATCTTATCAGCAAAGTCTTTAAGTATTAGGAAGTTTTCCAAAATCTTAACTTTCTCTTGAAAGCTTGAATTTTATCCTCGGCAACAAATACTGTTAGTCGATCACCTAAATTTGAATAACCCTAATAGTGTCACACGTGCTTTTTTTTCCTGGAGATAACCATCACCATCCTTCAGTACCAACAAAAGTGCTTCCTTGGTTTCCCATTTTCTCACACTAAGAGGTTGAAGGTTGAGATTTAATAAAATTAATGATTTTTACTGCTTTTTTAAGAACATTCTTAAGCGAGGCTGGCTTTTTTTAACTACAAGTGCATGGAGCTGGAGAATACAAATACTGCTTGTATTTCTCGCGTCACTTGGGGCCGCTGTCTTGACTCGTGCTAAGTTGCCAGTAGTTTCTACGTCAGTTCAGCTTTTGGATGAACACGTGTCAGCACGGTGGAAAAGGCAGATAAAGTGTGAATATTATTATGAAATAGTTTTGATCTTGTAAACCCCCCGAAACGGTCTTGAGAATTTTTAGGAGACCGTGGGCCATATTTCGAGAACTGCTACTAAAGAGAAATTGAGGCTGCAGAAGTATTCCTAAGTGTGTTCCTAATAGGATGTTTATAGACCTAGAGATTTTCAGCCCAAAAAAAAAAAAAAAAAAGGTTGTGAGGAGGCAGGAGTAAAAGATAGGGCTTAAACCTTATTCATGCTTCACTTAGGTTGGTTCTTAGCCAGACTGGAGAAGGGTGCTAAGGAGAAAGGAACTAAAGGTTCTTTATTGGAATCATTCTTTCTTAGCTAGTACATATTTAGCAGTGGCCTTGCACCTGCTTTAAAAGGTGATTTAGGAAGCAGGAAGGGGGAACTGAGAAGCAAAACTCACATTTTATTGGGATACTCAGAAGAGAGACAAATCAGAAGGTCTTGTCTTCATATATCTCTCTTTTGTCTAGGTAGACTATTCTCTAATAACTAGTACCCTAAAAACACCAAATTCATTTTCTTGTATTTTGCAGAGATTTTGAAAAGCTTCCTTCTTGTAAGAAGCCAGATCCCCTGTCGCCAGTCAAAGATAACATCCAACTAACTCCAGAAGCAGAAGAGGATATATTTAACAAATCTGAATGCATGCGTGTTCAGAGAGCAATATTCCAATAAATGCAGGCAGCTGGGAGGCTATTGCCTGCAAGACAATCTCTATCAATTTGAAGTGCTGTTACCAGACTGAAAGATTTATGCATAGATGTAATGCCATTTTTTAAATAGAGTACATTTTGTATATTAACTGTAACTATTTCTTTTGTTCAGCTTTTTATATTTTGTAAGAAGCTAAAATAGAGAAATAATTTTATCTTTGACAGTTTTTGGAAGTTTTGATGTTTTGGGGCAAGGCCCCTGGAATTTAGAAAAATCTACTCTGAAGGTTTCTGTCATGTTGTCAAGTGTAAGGATAGTAAATGAAAAGCCACAATTCTGTAATCATTTTATCCTGGAGGGAATCACTGTATTTCCTCTCAGGGTTGAATTGGAAATAAAGTTTCTGAAATGGGAGGGGTAGCTGGAAAGGTTAAAGTGTGAGCTGAAAATCCCTTAACTAGAGTCTTAGGTGTGGTGTAAGACACTAAAGCATTAGGGTCTGTGAAGGGTACACTCGACAGGGGTGGTCAGGTGTCGCAGACTAGGAGTCTGGAGTTCTCTTGTCCAGAAAGAGAGTGGATGCAGAATTGAATACGAGAGGCTAATGTCCAGGAGGAGACAAGAGCCCAGAACAGGGGTTTCGTCTCCATATCTATTGAGCTCATAAGGTATTACCCATGTGGTGAACGTGAGGAAAACAAGACCTTATACGTGTGAACATGGAGAAAACAATCAGACTGTAATCATTAACTTGTATGTGTAAGAATCAAAAGGTCTAGGGGGCAAGTGGAGTTTGTGATCAAGGTATATTGGCTCCAGACGGAAAGCAATTTCCTGCAGGTGATATAACAAGTTACTTGTGATCCCATTACAATATGTCACTAGCTAACCTTGGGTGCTTTCGCCCAGTGGTGGTGGCTTTCCACCCTAAGCTGTTTTTCTAACCCATTTATGTAAGTAGAACCTATTTCCCCACAGTCAGGTACCTAGAAAAACCCAGCCATGCAGGTGAAAAAACCAGCCATGCAGGTGAATATCTGAAGGAAGGAAAACTCTGGCAGGGGGCAGAGGGTTTACCTGAGATACAGAGGATAAAGGAAAGAGATCCAAATTATTTTAATTTTTAAATAAGATGTGATAGAGGACTCTTGGATAAAGAGTCAGAATGGGAAAAAAAAAAAGTAGGAAACACCATAAAAATTTTTAAAAACCAACAATCTGGAAAAAAAAAAAAACAAATTTGAACTCTGAATGTTTCCTGTTATAGAACAAATTAAGAATGTGAGTCAAACATTGTCTACAAATGTTTATCTCCTTGCCCATTTAAATTTTTTTTTTTTTTCAACGTTTATTTTTGGGACAGAGAGAGAGCATGAACGGGGGAGGGGCAGAGAGAGAGGGAGACACAGAATCGGAAACAGGCTCCAGGCTCTGAGCCATCAGCCCAGAGCCTGACGCGGGGCTCGAACTCACAGACCGCGAGATCGTGACCTGGCTGAAGTTGGACGCTTAACCGACTGCACCACCCAGGCGCCCCTCCTTGCCCATTTAAAATGCCACTTAACTGACAGAAAAGGAATAAAACAGTTTAAATCCATAAAGGTTAACCGAGGAAGAGACATCAGGCAAGGAAATAGATGGATAAGTGGTGAGTGATTTAGCAAAGAAATGATCAATTCTGCAGTGGTAGAAGCCAACAGAAGGCAGACTTCAGATGGGCTCAGCAACTGGCAACACAGCTTCCTTCAAAACCAGGGGCCGGAGGTAAATCTGAAAATGGAGCTGGCTGAAAACATTCAAAACTGGTATAGGAGGGTGGGGAGATGGCAGCCATGCCATGGATTATCAGCCTCCAAATCCCCACATAACCAAGTGGATATCAAAATCAAACACTTATGAACAGCATTACGACACAGGTGATGGAGTTTCCTTAAATCCCAAGATATAAGTGGGTGAAGACAAGCTCCCAACAGCAAGACCACAGGATGGTGGAGAATCAGGAAGGCAACAGGGAGTCTACTGGAGCTGAAAACAGAATTCCAGAATAACCATTAAAACGTAGTAGGTCATGTTGGACCCAGGAAAGCCTTCCCCACTCCCGTGGTAAGTGCTTGGGGCCTGTGTGACCTCTGAAGGAACTAATGCTGACTGGTCCACGTGAACTGTTGCCATTTAGCTGCCGACTTGGCCAAGGCTCCTTCTGGGACAGGGTCCCCCATGGAAGAAAACTGGTGAGAGGAAGCCCGAAATTGAGCAGGACAAACAACAGAAGCAAAGGAGAGAGAGATGGTTGAAATAGTGGGAGGAGCAAAGGATGACCAAGAAATCTCCGCAGAATACCTGTTTTTGAACACTTAGAAACATTTGATGTTCAAGAAGCTCCCATGAACTGTGCTTCCTTCTCAAAGAAAACTAATTTTACTTGAAACCACGAGAAAGCTTTTGGATCAATCTCATATGATAATTTAAAAAGCAGAATAACATCTTTATAGATATTGAAAATCTACCAAAAAAAGTCCACAGAGCAGATGAAAAACAGTCCGTTTGAAAAATGTAAAAATTAAGAAAAAGGAATATAGATATGAAGGAAATTTAGAATTGGAAAAATTTAAGGCAAACCCAGAAAAGCATTAGAAATGGACATTTCAGAAGTGAAAACTAAACCAGAAGTAATACAAGATAACAGATACTACAGATAATACCTTACAAGATGGGAAGTAAAAATCTGGACAAATCGGAAAGAAAAAAGATTAGGAAGCAGCAAATATTGAAGATAGGGACAGAAGGTGCAATATACAGGTAATAGTCTCTAAAGGAAAAAAATTGTAATTTCAGAAAACTCTCCTAATAAAAAACAAATTGAAACTTTTTAAAGGGCACTCATACCCAAGATTATTGATCCAAAACATGCAACACCAAGACCTAAGTAACAAAGTTACTTAAAAAGAAATCCTTGGGGTAAGCAAAAACAGATTTTTCCACAATTACTTTTTACTTGAAAATGAACATTTTGGTGGCACCTGGGTGGCTCAGTCAGTTAAGCATCCGACTTCAGCTCAGGTCACGATCTCGCGGTCTGTGAGCTTGAGCCCCGCGTCGGGCTCTCTGGGCTGATGGCTCAGAGCCTGGAGCCTGCTTTGGATTCTGTGTCTCCCTCTCTCTCTGCCCCTCCCCCGTTCATGCTGTCTCTCTCTGTCTCAAAAATAAATAAACGTTAAAAAAAGAAAAAGAAAATGAACATTTTGAACATACTCCAGGCAAGAATTTGGGGAATAGTGTTTGTTCCCTTAAGTTATTCCTGAAGAACCTATCAGAAAATGAGCTCCTTTACAAAACCAAAATAACTAGAGAAATAGCATCATAAAGACTAGTGGTGGGCATTTAATATAGCAGCCTGTGTATATAGAAGTTGGAGTTAAGGGGCCCCTAATTGTCTCAGTTGGTTAAGCATCTGACTTCAGCTCTGGTCATGATCTCCCAGTTAGTGGGTTGGAGCACCACATCCGGCTCTGTGCTGACAGCTCAGCCTGGAGGCTGCTTCAGATTCTGTGTCTCCCTCTCTTTCTTGCTACCTCCCCTCTCCGTCCTCCCCACCGCCACTCATGCTCTCTCAAAAATAAAACCTTAAAAAAATTTTTGTATTTTAATTGGAGTTACAAGCAAGACAGTGTGATGTGCAACGGCTTCATGTCCAGATGATAGTAAAACTAAAAAAGAGGAAAGCAGATGCAGAAACATTTGGCTTAGCTCATGGTATCTGATAGTGTTGTTAGTTTAGACTGTTGGGTGTATAATGTGGACATTTATGGGATATTTTAAAAATTTTTTTTCAATGTTTGTTTATTTTTGAGAGAGAGAGTGTGAGTAGGGAAGGGGCAGAGAGAGAGGGAGACACAGAATTCAAAGCAGTCTCCAGGCTCTGAGCCGTCAGCACAGCCTGATGTGGGGCTCAAACCCGTGAACCATAAGATCATGACCTGGGCTGGTCAGGCACCCAACTGACTGAGCCACCCAAGCGCCCCTTTAATCCCTGTAGTTGTAAATTTGAGTTGGAAGTAGTGATAGAAACTTAAATATGTGTGTATGTATACACTCGTTATATGCATATATGCTGCATGTATACATGCTGAAGAGACCTAGGAAAAATTAACTAATCCAGTACTAGTAAGCATTGCTCAGCTTATAGGCTTTTTTTTTTTTTTTAGACAAGTCTTTATTTTTTTTAATGTTTATGTTTAACAAGTCTTTCTTAAAAAATTTTTTAATGTTTATTTTAAACAAATTTATTTTTTTTCTTTTTTTTTAAATTTTTTTAAGGTTTATTCATTTCTCAGAGACAGAGAGACAGAGGGTGAGTGGGGGAGGGGCAGAGAGAGAGGGAGACAGAATCTGAAACAGGCTTCAGGCTCTGAGCTGTCAGCACAGATCCCGATGCGGGGCTTGAATTCATGGACTACAAGACCATGACCTGAGCTGAAGTCAGACACCCAACTGACTGAGCCACCCAGATGCCCCTATTTATTTATTTATTTGTTTGTTTATTTATTTATTTATAATGTCTATTTGGGGAGAGAGAGTGTGTGAGTGGGCAGGGACAAAGAGAAAGAGGGAGAGAGAGAATCCCAAGCAAGCTCCTTGCTGTCAGCACAGAGCCTGATGAGCAATTCAATCTCACAAACAGATCATAACCTGAACCAAAATCAAGAGTCAGATGCTTAACCCACCGGGCCACCAAGGTGCCCCACTCAACTTTAAGTCTTAAAATACTATTTTTTATCAAAGGAAACCAGAACATCTTGGGGGGGGGGGGGGGGGGGGGGGGAGTGCCTGGCAGAAAATATATAAGAAAGCCCTGGAATAGCTTATTAAAACAGAAGCTAAGATGGGAGCCAACTTGAAGAGGCCCAAATATGGTTAAAGTTGATCTTGAAAAAAGGGTAATAATTGCAACTTACTGAAATGCATCAGAAACAGATTAAAGACAAATGCTCACCTTCAGAGTGATAGGGTATGCAACTCAT